GGAATTCTGATTGGGTTTGGGTTGAGAATTGGATTGGGACTGGGAATTCTGATTGGATTTGGAATGGGAACAGGATTGGGACTGTGAATTCTGATTGAGTTTGGGTTGGGAATAGGAATTCTGATTGGGACTGGGGATGCGGTTGGGAATAGGAATTCAGACTGGGTTGGGAATGGTACTGGGAATTCTGACAGGCTTTGGGTTGGGAATAGGAATTCTGATTGGGACTGGGGATGGGGTTGGGAATAGGAATTCAGACCGGGTTGGGAATGGTACTGGGAATTCCGACTGAGTTTGGGTTGGGAATAGGAATTCTGATTGGGTTTGGGTTGAGAATTGGATTGGAACTGGGAATTCTGAGTGAGTTCGGGTTGGAAATGGGAATTCAGACTGGGTTTGGGTTGTAACTGGGCTTGGGAATGGGAATTTGGTCTGGGTTTGGGGCTGGAATTAGGGTTAAGACTGTTACAGGGATTAGGCTGGCATGGGGATTAAGGTGGGAATTGGGAGTGGGGATTCAGACTGGGAATGGGGTTGGGATCAGGAGTGGGACAAGCCTTTGGGGTTCACCAATGAAGCATTAATTAGAGCTGATTGGGGGTCACCCCTTGGGGACCGAGATGGCTACTGAGGACCCCGGCACACCCCGGGATGGGGCAATCCCGGTCACAGCATCCCAGTTATCCCCCCCCCCAGGGCAGCTCCATTCCAAACCCAATGAGTTTCCCTTCTTTAGTCGGGAATGAGCCAAGGAGCGGCTCCAAGCTATGGGTCAGGCTGGGAAGGACCTGGCTCCCAGTGGATATTAGGGCTAAATCCACCTCCATGCTCCCAATCCCTCCCATGAACGGAGCCCGGAGCCTTCATCCCGCGGGCAAAGGGGCCTCTGGGAATAGCGGGAGGGAATTCGATCCCTTCGTTGCTCCTGGAAGGCGACGCTGCCGCATCCCTGCAGTATTCATGAGGCCCTGGGCAGCAGGAGGGCAGGAGTGGGGCGCAGCATCCGTCTGTCCATAGGGAGGTAAGGAAGACATGGGATGGGGCTGGGAATCGGCAGTGGGGGGTCAGGAGTGGGGCGCAGCATCCGTCTGTCCATAGGGAGGTAAGGAGCTCATGGGATGGGGCTGAGAATCGGCAGTGGGGGGTCAGGAGTGGGGCGCAGCATCCGTCTGTCCATAGGGAAGTAAGGAAGACATGGGATGGGGCTGGGAATCGGCAGTGGGAGGGCAGGAGTGTGGCGCTGCATCCGTCTGTCCATAGGGAGGTGAGGAACACATGGGATGGGGCTGGGAATCGGCAGTGGGGGGTCAGGAGTGGGGCGCAGCATCCGTCTGTCCATAGGGAGGTGAGGAATACATGGGATGGGGCTGGGAATCGGCAGTGGGGGGTCAGGAGTGGGGCGCAGCATCCGTCTGTCCATAGGGAGGTGAGGAACACATGGGATGGGGCTGGGAATCGGCAGTGGGAGGGCAGGAGTGGGGCGCAGCATCCGTCTGTCCATAGGGAGGTGAGGAACACATGGGATGGGGCTGGGAATCGTCAGTGGGAGGGCAGGAGTGGGGCGCAGCATCCGTCTGTCCATAGGGAGGTAAGGAACACATGGGATGGGGCTGGGAATCGTCAGTGGGAGGGCAGGAGTGGGGCGCAGCATCAGTCTGTCCATAGGGAGGTGAGGAGCTCATGGGATGGGGCTGGGAACCGGCAGCGTTTCGGCGCTGTGGGGCGCGATCCTGCCTCCAGGCTTGGATAAGCCTCATTCTCCACCTCTTCATCCATGAGGAATCGCTGCCTTCCCACCCCTGTTTGCTTCCCGGCCGGGCTGTCCCGCTTCTAAACCCTTGCGTCCACCGCTGAGGGCTTCTGAACTCGTTGCATCCAACACGGGGCAGAGCCCGGGGTCCGGTGGGGAAAACCCAACCCCACCGGGATGCTTCGAGCTGCGTTTCCTTGGGAAAGGAGGAAGAAGGGGAGGGAATGAGGATGTGGGCGCGCGGGATAAGGAGGGGAAGACATCGGGGGTGCCCCCCCCACCGCCCCCCAGCCCCACACCAGGGTCTTGAGCATCCCCAGCTCTGCCCCACAGGGATGCTCCCGGCAGCGGCCGGGCTCTGCTGAGGACCCGTGGGGAGCCCCACGGCTGCGGCCGCCGTGGGCGTGGGGCGAGGCTTGGCCGTGGCCTTCGCGGTGCTCACCTGCCCCATGGCGGATCCCTACAGCTCCACCGGGCACGAGGAGCCCAGCGGCTGAGCCCCGGCACCCACGCGGAGACCCAGGGACCACAGGGACCCCAACACCCCCCAGGGACCCCAACACCCCCAGGGACCCCAACACCCCCCAGGGACCCCAACACCCCCAGGGACCCCAACACCCCAGGGACCCCCAACACCCCCCCAGGGACCCCCGAAAAACACCCCAGAGACCCCCGAAAAACACCCCCCAGGGACCCCAACATCCCCCCAAGGACCCCCAACAAACACCCCCAGCCCCATAGGGCCCCAGCCTCCCCCTGCACCACCCAGCATCCCAGGGCCTTCAGTGCCCCCCATTGCCCTCCAGCATCCCCCATGGTCCTCCACATCCCCACAGCTCCCCATTGACCCCAGTACCCTCAGAGCCCCCCATTGCCCCCCAGCACCCCCATTGCCCCCCATTGCCCTCCACAGCCCCCAAACCCCACCAGCAACTCCATTGTCCCCCATTGCCCCCCAGCTCCCCCCATTGTCCTCCACATCCCCACAGCTCTCCATTGACCCCAGTACCCCCGAGCCCCCCCATTGCCCCCCCAGCACCCCGAGTCCCCCATTGTCCTCCAGAGTCCCCCATTTCCCCCAGTACCCCCATTGTCCTTCATTGCCCTCCAGAGCCCCCCAAACCTCACCAGCACCCCCATTGCCCCCCAGCACCCTGCATTGTCCTCCACATCCCCACAGCTCCCCATTGGCCACAGTACCCCTGAGCCCCCCCCATTGCCCCCCAGCACCCCAGAGCCCCAAATTGCCCCCCAGCACCCCCTGAATTCCCTATTGCCCTCCAGAGCCCCCCAAAACCCCCCAGCACCCCCATTGCCCCCCAGCACCCCCAAACCCCACCAGCACCCCCATTGCCCCCAGTACCCCCTGAGTCCCCCATTGCCCCCCAGCACCCCCATTGCCCCCAGTACCCCCTGAGTCCCCCATTGCCCCCCAGCACCCCCATTGCCCCCAGCACCCCCATTGCCCTCCAGAGCCCCCCATTGCCCCCCAGAGCCCCACATTGCCCCCCAGCACCCCCAAACCCCACCAGCACCCCCATTGCCCCCCAGTACCCCCTGAGTCCCCCATTGCCTCCCAGCACCCCCATTGCCCCCATTGCCCCCAGCACCCCCATTGCCCTCCAGAGCCCCCATTGCCCCCAGCACCCCCAAACCCCACCAGCACCCCCATTGCCCCCCCGCACCCCCATTGCCCCTCATTGCCCTCCAGAGCCCCCCATTGCCCCCCAGCACCCCCACTGCCCCCCATTGCCCTCCAGAGCCCCCATTGCCCCCCAGCACCCCCACTGCCCCACATTGCCCCCCAGCACCCCCATTGCCCTCCAGAGCCCCCATTGTCCCCCATTGCCCCCCAGCACTCCCATTGCCTCCAGCACCCCCTTGCCCCCGCACCCCCCGCAGACCTCCGCTCCAGCAGGGGGCAGTACGGCGCCGCCTCCCGCGGGGGAAGCTCCGCCCCTCCGCGCGTGCCCCTCAGCCAATCCCCGCCGCCGCCAGGCGGTTGGAGCCCCGCCCCCTTGGGCAGGCCGGGGCTGCTGTTGCCGGATGTGACGTCACGCGAGTTCCGGTGTGGAGGGCGCCCCGCTTCGCCCCCCACTCCCCTCAGGGTGCATCCGAGCGGGACCGGGGCGCGGTGAGTGCGGGGGATGGGGGTGAAGGGAGGTGTGGGGCGGGGGATGGGGGTGAAGGGAGGTGTGGGGCGGGGGATGGGGGTGAAGGGAGGTGTGGGGCAGGGGAATGGGGGTGAAGGGAGGTGTGGGGCGGGGGATGGGGGTGAAGGGAGGTGTGGGGCGGGGGATGGGGGTGAAGGGAGGTGTGGGGCAGGGGAATGGGGGGTGAGGGGAGGTGTGGGGCAGGGGATGGGGGTGAAGGGGGGTGTGGGGATGGGGATGGGGTGAAGGGAGGTGTGGGGCAGGGGATGGGGGCGAAGGGGGGTGTGGGGATGGGGATGGGGTGAAGGGAGGTGTGGGGCAGGGGATGGGGGCGAAGGGAGGTGTGGGGCAGGGAATGTGGGTGAAGGGGGGTGTGGGGCACGGGAATGGGGGCAAAGGGATGTGTGGGCACGGGAATGGGGGCGAAGAGCGGCCCATGGGGTGTGGAAGGGGGACTGAGAGGGAGCTGTGGGGCAGGGAAACGGGGGGGCAAAAGGAGGCCTGGAGGGGGCAAGGGGAGACCGTGGGGGCAAAGGGGGCCAGGGGGATGCAGGGAGCTGTGGGGCAGGGGAATTGGGGCTGAAGAGGAGCCTGTGTGGGGAGAAGAGGGGCTTGTAGGGGCCAGGGGGAGCTGTGGGGCAGGAGAGTGGGGTGCTGTGGGGACAAAGGGGGCCATGGAGATGTAGGGAGCTGTGGGGCAGGGGAATGGGGGGCAGAGAGGGGGCTGTGGGAGCAAAGGGGGCTATGGGGATGTACGGAGCTGTGGGGCAGGGGAATGGGGCCTGAAGAGGGGCTTGTAGAGGGCAGGGGGAGCTGTGGGGATGAGAGGAGCAGTGGGGCAGGAGATTGGGGGGCTAAGGGGGGCTGTGGGGGCAAAGAGGGGGCTGTGGGGCAGAGGGAATTGGGGTGAGGGCTTTGGGGGGGGGGGGGAAGGAGGGTGAGGAGCAAGCGCCATAGAGTGGGAGAGGATGGGGGTGGGGAGGCTTTGGGGCCATGGGGAGGAGGGGGGTGCAGGGGTGTGGGGGAGGGGGGTGCAGGGGCGTGGGGGGAGGTGTAAAGCGGTCGGGGGGGTTCCGCAGCTCCCCCTGCTCGCGGCGGCGGCGGGAATGGATTCCCGGGAGCTGCGGGAGCTGCAGCAGGAGGTGATGGAGGAGCTGGGGATGTCCATGGAGGAGCTCCAGGAGCTCGTGGACAGGGAGCTGGAGAAGTGCGAGGGCGTGAGGGAGAGGAGGAGGGAGCTGGAGGAGCTGGAGAGGTGCGTGAGGGAGAAGGAAGAGGAGGTGGCTTGTGTGGATCAGCTCTTTGAGGATGCTTCCAGGTGGGTGGGGTGGGGGGGGGGGGGGGGGGGCAGGGGGATGGGGGTGAAGGGGGGGTGTGGGAATGGGGATGGGGGTGAAGGGGGATGTGGGGCAGGGGGATGGGGGTGAGGGGAGGTGTGGGAATGGGGATGGGGGTGAAGAGGGGTGTGGGGCAGGGGGATGGGGGTGAGGGAGGTGTGGGGCACGGGAATGGGGACGAAGGGAGGTGTGGGAATGGGGATGGGAGTGAAGGGAGGTGTGGGGCGGGCAAAGGGAGGTGTGGGGCAGGGGGATGGGGGTGAAGGGAGGTGTGGGAATGGGGATGGGGGTGAAGGGAGGTGTGGGGCAGGCAAATGGGGGGCAAAGGGAGGTGTGGGGCAGGGGGATGGGGGTGAGGGAGGTGTGGGAATGGGGATGGGGGTGAAGGGGGGTGTGGGGCACAGGAATGGGGACAAAGGGAGGTGTGGGAATGGGGATGGGGGCAAAGGGAGGTGTGGGGCAGGGGGTTGGGGGTGAAGGGAGCTGTGGGGCATGGGAATGGGAGGGAAGGGGAGTGTGGGAATGGGGATGGGGGTGAAGGGAGGTGTGGGGCAGGGGAATGGGGGCAAAGGGACGTGTGGAGTGCGGGAATGGGGACAACAGGAGCTGTGGGACACGGGAATGGGGGCAAAGGGAGCTGTGGGGAATGCGGGTGAAGGGAGCTGTGGGGCATGGGAATGGGGGTGAAGGGAGCTGTGGGCTTGATTCCTCTTATTATGGGATGCGCTGACGTCGTCTCGTCCCCCATCCCTCCGTGCCCTTTCCTCCCCGCAGAGCCATTGACAAGTGTGAGAGCCTCGTGAAGGACCTGTATTCCAAACTGGGCCTCCAGTACCGGGAGAGCAGCTCCGAGGATGAGGAGCTGGCTGCCAAAGCCATGGAAGTGATCGAGATCCCGGATGAGGACGACGACGATGTCATGAGCCTTGATCCCGGCTGGAAGCACAGTTCAGTAGCCCCTTGCACTGCAGGGTACCAAGGGAAGGGATGTCCTGGAGGATGAGGGGGATCAGGATAAGGGTAACCTCATGCTGGCCCTAAGCCGCACAGGTCCCTAAATGAGAGAGGATCAGGTAGGAGACCCCATTGCAGGGGGTGTCACCTGCCCAGGGCTATTCCAGAGCTCCTGGAATCCAACACTGGGGCTCTTCCCTTTGCCCACCCTCCCGTTGGCCCCATCAGGTGCTCCCCCCTTTGCCCACCCTCCCGTTGGCCCCATCAGGTGCTCCCCCCTTTGCCCACCCTCCCGTTGGCCCCATCAGGTGCTCCCCCCTTTGCCCACCCTCCCGTTGGCCCCATCAGGTGCTCCCCTATGGGGAAGGAGGGAGTGCAACTGGAAGGGGTGGCTTAGGAAAGGGTGGCTTTTGGCAGGGGAAGAGAACCTTTTGGGTGGGTGATTTCCTGCGTTCCCTCTTCCTTCCCCGACTTAACCAGGGTGGATTTTCCCTCCCTGGGATGTTTTAAACCCCTTTTGTTCTCTTCAGACACAGGCACTGGGAGCTCCAGAATCACAAAGGATCAGACTCTGGTGAGTTGGAACACACCAGACTCGGGTCCTCGGAGTGGGGTTTTGCTGCAGCACTTGGGCCAGTGCTGTGTTTAGAGCAAAGGGGAAAGAAAAGGTTCTTCGTGTTTTATCCCTCTTTCCATCCCTCGAGCTGCAGGAAGCCATGGCTGCAATCAGGAAGTCTGCCCAGGATGTTCAGAAGTTCATGGATGCTGTGAGCAAGAAAACAAGTGCCCAGGATGCACAGAAAGGTCAGTGTGGGAGGGCCAGGCGAGGGCTGGCCCTTACCTGCACCTTTACCCCTCTTGATTCTCTTGCTGACAAAGAAAAGAGCTGCTCTTTCCCTGCAGGAAGGCCCCATTAGGAGCTGTTGAGTCCAGATTCCTCTTGGGCTTTAAGCTCTTTCCCAAAGCAAATCCAAGTGGTGCGAATTCCATAATGGGAAAAGCTTTTTAATGATGCTTAAACCCCGCTTGCTGATGGCTCCAGCCAGGAAAACTGAGGCACTTGGGGGTGTGTGAGGTGCAGGAGAGCCAGGATGCCATCCTGTCGATGTTCTGACCTAAGAGAGGGACTCTTTGGGCAGTTTCTAATGGATCCCTTATTGCTGTTCTTTGGGTAGATGCACAAAGCCTTCAGGAGAGTCCTGGCTCTGGCCAGCCCGCTGGCTCTGTAGCATCGGGGGGGGATCTCAGCCATGATGAAGATCTCAACGTTGGCATGAGGATCCTGGGCAAGAAGAGAACCAAAACGTGGCACAAGGGGACTCTGATCGCCATCCAGAGAGTGGGTACGTCCCCTGTGTGGGGCTGGGGCTGGGCTTGGGGCTTGCACCCCACTTTGGAGTTGGGAAAGCCACTCTTTTACCTCCCAGCTTCATTCCTGAAAGGCTTTGGAAGGAATTCCCTTGGCTGGGAATGGGCTACGGAATGGGAATTGGCTGGAGTCACTTGGCGCTTATCTTACCGTGGTGAAATGTCTTGCAGGTGCTGGCAAGAAGTACAAAGTGAAGTTTGATAACAAAGGGAAGAGTTTGCTCTCTGGCAATCACATTGCTTACGACTATCACCCTCTGCCTGAGAAACACTACGTTGGCAGCAGGGTTGTGGCCAAATACAAAGATGGGAACCAGGTCTGGCTCTATGCTGGTATTGTGGCCGAGACCCCAAACGTGAAGAACAAGGACAGGTATTAATTCCCCTCCACTGTCATGTGTGTCTCCCTCCCTCCCTCTTATGTCTTCATTTGATTAGGGGGGAAATAAGGTCTGTTTGTTACTGTTGGAGCTAAATTCCTTCCTGCCCTTCAGGAGGATGTAGTTCTGAGTGTGGCTTCTTCAGCTTTTCTTATCTCAGAGCTCTGGGTGGAGCTTCTGTTCTATTATTCATTGCCCTGAGTCATGAATCAGATCTGGTACTCATCCACCTTATCACACAAACACAAGTCTGCCTCGCTTAAGGCAGAAAACCCAGGGTTAGGAAACATGAGCCCTGGAAGCATTTAGTTGCCAAAGCACTTGAGGAGAAGCAAGAGCAGGTCTAAAGGAGGCTTTAGTTGTGTATGCATATGGGGCAGGGCTTCTTCGTGGTGTGGTTTAGACTCGTGGGCTTCCTGAGGTTGTCCTAAAGGATATCACTGCCCTGTTTCAGCTGTGGATCTGCCAGAAATGCCTCATTGTGTCAAATTCTATCTGATACATCTTTAATCACTGCAAATGGAGTGCATTTAGTACTCAGGTTGCAGATTTACTCCTCCTGGCTGCAGTGCTGCTCTCCTGTAACACAATCTTCACACAGCTCCGTATCCTGAGGTTACTGTTTGAGGCACCAGCACTGAGTGGGTGCCATGCCCAGCCTTTGGGGGGTCCTCTCCAAGCTCCTGGCCCCTGCAGCCACTGGGGACTCTCTTGTGCTCATCTCCTGTCTGCAGATGGAGCCCTGGGGGTGTCTCTAGCTCCTTCCTTGTCACCATCCTCATTCTCTGCTGCTGCTTTGTCCCAAAGGCTCCAGAAATACCTCTTCTTCCATTATAACTGTGCTATATTCAGCTGCATGTTTAATTCCACCTTCCAATGCTGCTCTTTTCCAGGTTCCTGATCTTCTTTGATGATGGCTACGCTTCATATGTCAAGGAGTGGGAGCTGTACCCAGTCTGCAGACCCTGTGAGTGAGCTCTGCCCCTTCTGTATCCTAACACTGGAGTTGTATGGGAAGTCTTTGGCTGTATGAAGGAGGTGGGGTTCAAAACACAGAGGGCATGTAGATGTTTGTGTCTGAAGCTGGAGGAGACTGATTTCTTCCTGGCAGAGTGGTTGTGCTGACCCCTTGCACTCTGGGTGCATTACCATGGCTGGATTCCTGCCACCAAAACCCCCAACGTGAATGTTCTTATGTAAAACTCCATCTGGGATCTTTATAAAGTTTCTCTTTGTGAGAGTTTTCCACCCCTGACCATCCCTTTTCCCCCCCATCCTTTTCTGAGCAGTGAAGAAGACCTGGGAAGACATTGAGGATGTTTCCTCTCGGGATTTCATCGAGGAGTACATCACAGCCTACCCCAACCGCCCCATGGTGCTGCTCAAGAGCGGGCAGCTCATCAAAACAGAGTGGGAAGGGACCTGGTGGAAATCCCGAGTGGAAGAAGTGGATAGCAGCCTGGTCAGGATCCTTTTCCTGGTAAGGCAATTCCCTTTCTCCCATGAGAAGGGAAAGATGAGCTTAGATTTGAGGCTGGTGGAGATGTTTGAATCCAGTTTCCTTGGTATCGTACAGGGGCCTGAAGCAAGCACATGCTTTGCTTAGTAGGTAGACCACCAAGTTCTGCCTTCCAAGTAGTTCTGTCTTCCTAGTAGTTCTACCAAGTGAAGGTCAGACTCTTTCCTTTGCACTCAGGAGTCTTTTAAAGCATTTTGAAATTGAAACTGTGAAGCAGTAGATGAATAAGAAACCAAACCCATCACCTGCAGGTGTGCAAACACCTCAGCGTGGCTTCTGTCCTGATCCAAGTGCTGGTTTGAGAAGCAGGATTGAAACTGAGCAGGGGTTGGGAGCTGCTGCTTGCTCACGTGCTACAAATCCCACAAGGGGAGGAGGTGCCCTCTCTGGGCCCACTTGGCTCTCTCCCTGTCCAGCCAGTGCAAGGCCACCAGGCTGGGGGGACTTTGTGCAACCTCCCTGCCCTAAAGGATGCTTGTGCAGAGGAATTGGCTTGTCTTCCAAGGGGATCTGCCTTCTCCAGCCACGTCCCAGTGATCAGTTGTTGGCTAAGGATAGAACAAGGTTTGGGGTCTTGGCATTGGGCATCTTCTAGGTTCAGTTTGTATTCAGGGTTCCCCCAGACATGCTGAATTACTGCCCTTGTCCTCCCTTGGCTGCATGGTCTTTCAGAAGCCTTCAGGTCAATGCTTTGCCTCCTTTCATTGGATTGTGCTCCTGGCTGTCTCCCAGGCCTGGGTTATCCCTCTGGAAGCTCTCGCCATGGGTGCTGGGAATGTTGCCTTCTCCTTGCTGCAGGATGACAAGCGCTGCGAGTGGATTTACCGGGGCTCCACACGCCTCGAGCCCATGTTCAGCATGAAAGCCTCCACAGCCTCCACCCAGGAAAAGAAAGCTAAGTGGACAAGCAAGAACTCGTCCCAATGTTGGTATGTGCCATCTTTTCCTTTCATTTGGGTCCTGGAATTTGGATGGGTGCCTTGGGTTGGACGGGTGGGAGCTGGTTCTGGTTGGGTGGAGTTGGGTTTAGTGGAACTCCTGGTGAAGCAGGATTTCCAGTGGGCTTTTTCTCCTGACATAAAGATGCCACAGAACCAAGCTGCACTTGTGTGAAGCGGCCAGCATCTGTCTGAGGTGACTGGCTGTGACTCCACACTCACCTGTGACCTGATGTTAACCACAAATGCCTCTCTTCTGGTTGCCTTTGGGGACTAAAGCAGTATCTTGTGGCTTTGGTTGATGGTGGAGGCTTCTCCTGTTGAGATTCCCCTTTCCCCCCTCCCCACTAGGTGCTGTGAGGAGCAAAGGGCCCGTGGTACAATACACACAGGATCTAACAGGAGCTGGTACCCAGTACAAGCCTTTAGAGCAGATGCAGGCAGCCTCACAGGCTCCACGCTCTGCTTCTCCACAGCCTGCAGAGATGGAGTAAGTACTCGAGTCACTTCTCTGCTTCCATCACTACCTCCTTTCATCTCCAGTGCTCAGCTCCTTCAGGTACCCTCCTCTCTGCGTAGGGGAATCCTCAGGTGCATGTTTCCTCTGTGACTAACTTGTCTCCTGGTTGCACAAATTGCTTTTAGTCATGTTTCTGGGGGAAACTCTAGATAAAGGCAGCTGGATGAGTAACAGGGGGTGGGAGAGCTGAGAGCCAAGCACCAGCTTCTTCCTCAAGGCTAAAGCTTCACCCTTGATGTATTTCCAACTTAAGAGTGTTTGCTGCTTCTCCTCTCAAAGTCTGAATTGCTCCCTCGTGTCATGATCCAGGCCCTGGCCACCGGCTGCTTTGTTTTCCTCCACTTGGACTGAGCTGCTCACAGACCTCGATGGCTTACGAGGCACTGGGAACTCAGGATCAGTGCTTGGTCATGGGCCAAACCTGATCGAGCTGAGCCACAGCCAAGTCACACCCGTGCCTTCTGCTGCCAGGGACCCAAGCAGGACGTTCCTGGAGGTGCAGGCTAGTGCTGAAGGAGGCCTGGATGAAGGAGGAACTCAACTTGGTGATGAAGGGAACGTGTTGGAGACCACCAGGGTACCTGGGCACGTGCCCTGGGACTTTCCTGGGAAGGGAGATGCTGCCCCAGTTCATTTTTGCCACCACTGTGGATTCCCCATCCGAATTTACGGACGCCTCGCCCCCTGCCAGCATGTCTTCTGCTGTGACTGTGCCCTGCTGCTCGGGCAGATGGGAGAGAAGATGTGTCCCAGCTGTCAGGAAGCTGTGCAGGAAGTGAACCTTTACTCATGGGATGCTCTCTAGGTGTAGCAGCATCTAAGAAACCCCCCTGCCTGCAGCCTCCAGCCTCAGGAGGGAGTTCCTCTCCAAGTACCAGTGCGATAGGACCCATTCTGCCCCTTGAACTTGGAAATGCTCCTCCAAGCCATTCAAAACAGGGCTTGAAGCTGTAGCAGCCTTGTTCCTCCTCTCTTGCTATAGCAGAAGAGGTCTGCTCCAGCAGGAGGAACGCAGCCCTGGCTCCTCACAGCAGTCCTGGGAGCAGAGGGAGAGCTGGGCTGTGGCCCTAACCCCAGGACACCTCGAGCTGAGGAGGGTGTAGGAAGGATGTGCAACAACACGGAATGAAGATGATCCAGTTGAATCGGCCACCCTCGAGGCTGCTGAATCTCCTCTTCCATTTAACATTTCCATGGAAGCTTTGGGGTGTTTTTTCTCTCCCCACAAAGGCTTTGACTTGAGGCTCTTGTTTTCAGATCTAGTACAAGACATGCATTACAGCTGGTTCCCTGCCCTGCAGTTAACCAGTGAACTGCTTAAAGACACCAGTGACTGGAGGCAGCAAGATCCATGTCCCAGCTGTCCCAGAGGAAATTGATGGGTTAAAACCACACTGGATTTAGCTTATTAAAACTGAGAGGATGTGCATTTCACTCTGGTGTTTGTTTTGCTCTGAGGAAGGGCTGGTTCTAGTCCCCTCTCTAGGCTCACTTTCAAGTTCTAAGGTGCCAGGGAGCTGCCACTTGGGACTGTTTGAAGTCCATCGGTGGAACCTCTTTTCTCTTGCTCTTGACTTCTCAATGTGTGCTGACACTTGGCTTTGAAGGCAGATGTTTGCAGAAATGGCCAGCCCCTTCTGCTCTCGCTGTCCCCACCCTTGGCACCCTGATAACATAACTGCATTCTTCCACTTGTGGCAGTGGCTGGTTTGGGCTGGTTCTCTGTTTGATGGGTGTAAGTGGATTGGATCTACTGTTGTTTCTTAGGGTGGGAGTATTGTGTCCTTCAAGTGTCTCCCACCTCCCTGGTGTTGTGCATCCCTGTTTGGGAGCCCCTTTTGTCAGCAGTGTTATTCTATTCCCTCACACAATCTTATCTTGTTACTTGGTACAGACAAAAGAGTCCTCTGTGCTCCTGTTCCTCCCACTGCTCAGCACTGCCCAAGCTCTGTAAGCTCTTGTTTCTGCTGGTGCAGGGGTTTCTTCATGGACTGGTTTGGCCAGCTTCTTCAAACTGAAGGCCTTGGGCAGCCTGGTTGCACTCCTTTCACCCTCATGCCTTGCTTCCAAATACATAGCACTTTTCCATGCATGCTGGCATTTGCTTGGGGTTGTAGGACAAAGAGGTAGAAATAGGCTGATTTTTACACTCCTTAGGAAAAAACCTGCTTGTTTTCTCATGGATGGGGCACTGCTGCATGTGAATCTTGCATATCACTCATAGAATCCATCAGGTTGGAAAAGACTTTCAAGATCATCAAGTCCAACCATTCCCCACTGCTAACCCCTGTCACGAAGGGCCTCATCTGCACAGTTTGGGAACGCTTCCAGGGCTGGTGACTCCACCATTCCCTGGGCAGCCTGTTCCAGTCCCTGACCCCTTCCCTCCTGCAGGTACTCTGACAGTCAGCTGGCCCAGGCGAGGAAGCAAGTGGCCAAGAAGAGCACTTCCTTCCGTCCCAGCTCTGTGGGTTCTGGGCAGTCTTCCCCTTCTCCCCCTATCCTCAGTGATGCACCTCTGGGGGGCAGGACCAATGCAGCCCAGCAGCATCGGTGAGTGCAGCTTGTTCCCTGCATCCTTGGCAGAGCTGGGGATGCTGGGGTAGCTCGGGGGCTTGTTGGGTTTGTTTCCCTACGGACTGAGCTCTTCATTTGCAGCTTATCTCGTCCTGAGCCATTTGTCTTCTGCTTTGTGTTGCCTCCCAGAAAACTGTTTGTTATATTTGAGCCTGGGGGGGTCTCTTATCAGTTCTGAGCAGCATTTACTCCAGTGGGATTCTGGCCAAAGCCTCTGCCCCTGCTTATTGTTAGAGGACTCCTGTTGCTACAAGCTTTGTAGGCGCCGAGGAAAGCTGCTGTTAATGTCAGTCTGCAGGTGGCTTTTCCACAGTGGTGGCTTTGTGGCAATCGGAAGCACAGAAGCCGTTGCTCCACGGTCAGAGACCACAACCAGCTTGGGCTTGGTTTTGCTTCCCTACTGTGATTTTTTGAGGGTGGTGGTTGTGTTCTCTGCTGCTGGTAACACTCCTGCCCAGCCTCACTCCCTGGGAGTGCTGGTGTTTGTGTCTTAATTCATCTGTGCAGCAAAACCAATGAGTGTCCTTGTGTGTAACCACAAAAAAAAGCATCTATCAAAGCAGCTGCTTTGATAGGAATGAAGTGCCTAAAATCCCTTTGCTCTTGGAAGCTCTTGAGGTGCTGGCACAGGTTGCCAAGACAAGTGGTAAATGCTCCATCCCTGGCAGTGTTCTAGGCCAGGTTGGACAGCGCCTTGGGCGACAGGGTCTAGTGGAAGGTGGCCTTGCTCACGGCAAGGGCTTGGAACTGGAAGATCTTAAGGTCCTTTCTAACCCAAACCATTCTATGATCTGAGGGTCCTTTCCAGCCCATCCCATTCTCTGATCTTAAGGTCCCTTCCAACCCAACCCGTTCTCTTGCTTCCTTATGTGCTTTCTGACGCCTCCCTTTCCCGCTGCCTGCCTCCCCCCCCAGCAGCCAAGCAGGCAGCAGCACCCACCAGGCCTTCCACGGCATGATGGACCGCGTGCCCAACGAGCCCTCGTACCGAGCCCCGCTGGAGAAGCTCTTCTACCTGCCCCATGTGTGCAGCTACACGTGCCTGTCGCGCGTGCGGCCGCTGCGCAGCGACCAGTACCGCAGCCGGAACCCGCTGCTCATCCCGCTGCTCTACGACTTCCGACGCATGACGGCGCGGCGCCGCCTCAACCGCAAGGTGGGCTTCCACGTGCTCTACAAGACCCCGTGCGGGCTCTGCCTGCGGAGCATGCAGGAGATCGAGCGGTACCTCTTCGAGACGGACTGCGACTTCCTCTTCCTGGAGATGTTCTGCTTGGATCCCTACGTGCTGGTGGACCGCAAGTTCCAGCCTTACAAACCCTACTACTACATCGCGGACATTACCAAGGGCAGGGAGGACGTGCCGCTGTCCTGCGTCAATGAGATCGATAACACCCCGCCGCCTCAGGTGGCCTACAGCAAGGAGCGCATCCCGGGCAAAGGGGTTTACATCAACACCAGCTGGGAGTTCCTCGTGGGCTGTGACTGCAAAGACGGCTGCAGAGACAAGTAGGGATGCTGGGGAGGGACTCTTCATTGGGGACTGTAGTGACAGGACAAGGGGTAACGGGTTCAAACTGAAACGGGGAGTTTAGGTTGGATCTGAGGAGGAAATTCTTTCCTGTGAGGGTGCTGAGGCACTGGAATGGGTTGCCCAGGGAGGTTGTGAATGCTCCATCCCTGGCAGTCTCCAAGACCAGGTTGGACGAGGCCTTGGGTGAGATGGTGTCGTGTGAGGTGTCCCTGCCCACGGCAGGGGGGTTGGAACTGGATGATCTTAAGGTCCTTTCCAACCCTAACTGTTCTATGATTCTAGGTGACCCCATGGGTGCCACTGGGGCTGGAGGGTGGGGATGACAGCACAAGGTGGACCTGCTCTGCACTTCGTGGAGCTCTGCTTGCTTGTAGATTTGACCCCATATGAAGCCCATCTCTGCATGTACCCGTTCAGAAAGATGGGATTTCTTCGCCTTTCTGTAAAACCAGTGTCTAAAACGTAACTTCTGAAGGATGGGTGGGTTTTACTGTGTCTCTCTAGATCAAAATGTGCCTGTCACCAGCTGACTGTCCAAGCGACTGGCTGCACCCCAGGAGGACAGATCAACCCCAACTCTGGATACCAGCACAAAAGGCTGGAAGAATGTCTCCCAACAGGGTAAGCAGAACCACATCTTCTTCCCTCACAGACACCAGCCCCAGAAACTTGGTCTCTTGATGCTCCCAAAGAGGGGTATTGTTCAGCTGGGAGAAGAGAAGGCTCTGGGGACACCTTAGAGCAGCTCTGGGGGCACCGTAGAGCAGCTCTCGGTGCCTAAGGAGGGTACAAGAAACCTGGAGAGGAGCTTTGGACAAGGGATGGAGGGATAGGACAAGGGGAATGGCTTTAACCTGCCAGAGGAGAGACTGAGATGAGTCATTAGGAAGTTTTTGGATAGGGCTTGAAGCAATGTGGTCTAGTGGAAGGTGTCCCTGCCCTGGATGAGCTTTAAGGTCCCTTCCAAACCATTCTGTGACTCTGTTTCTTGAGGGAGGTAGTGCAAACCTCTGCCCTTGATCCCTGTTAACATGTGGCCTAGGATCTCTGCTCATGGCCACAGCACCTCGCAACAACGCTTTCCCTGCTCTGCTGAGCTCTCAGTCGCTGCTGCAGGTCCCTTTGTGTCATTTCTGGTGCCACACGAGCTCTTGGGAGGTTCTTTACCAGGGAAGATGTCTCTGTTCTCCTCTCTTTCAGAGTTTATGAGTGCAACAAGAGGTGCAAGTGCAACGTTAACATGTGCACCAACCGCTTGGTCCAACACGGCCTCCAAGTCCGGCTGCAGTTATTCAAGACCCAGAACAAAGGTTGGGGCATTCGCTGCCTCGATGATATTGCTAAAGGCTCCTTTGTCTGCATCTATGCAGGTAGGACCTCACCCCATGGGCTGAGCAGGTAGAAGCCTCTTAGCTTTGAAATGGGTGCTGTGAATGAAAAGCCTTTGTTGAGCCAGCCCTGCCTGGCAGTCACATGTATCCAGATAGGAATCTGCTCGGTTTCAGTTAAGGAGTGGGGGGAATAAGTGTTTGAAAAGATCTGGTTGTGTCAGGCCTGAGATCTGGGCTTTGTTTATCACGAAATAGGACGTGGAGCTGCTGGAGTGAGTCCAGAGGAGGCCACGGAGCTGCTGCGAGGGCTGGAGCAGCTCTGCTTTGGAGCCAGGCTGAGAGAGCTGGGCTGGGGCAGCCTGGAGAAGAGAAGGCTCCTGAAGGGGAGACCTGAGAGCAGCTCCAGTGCCTGAAGGGGCTGCAGGAAACCTGGAGAGGGGCTTGGGACAAGGGATGCAGGGACAGGCCAAGGGGAATGGCTTTAACCTGCCCGAGGGGAGACTGAGATGAGCTCTTGGGCAGAAGCTCTTCGCTGTGAGGGTGCTGAGGCGCTGGCACAGGGTGCCCAGAGAAGCTGTGGCTGCCCCATCCCTGGCAGTGCTCAAGGCCAGGTTGGACACAGGGGCTTGGAGCATCCTGCTCCAGTGGAAGGGGTCCCTGCCCATGGCAGGGATTGGAGCTGGAGGAGCTTTAAGGTCCCTTCTAGCCAAAGTAGGCCGTGATTGTGTGACCCCCGCGCTGCTTGTGCCCGCTGTGAATCAACACAAACCTGTTTCCTGTTTACACCCCACTGGTTGCTGGGGCCCTCAGCAGAAACCAACCAAATGCAGAAGTTGCTCAGGACGGTTGCATCAGCCCTGCAAGGAAAGCAGGAGCACCGCTGGGTTCTGGTGCTCTGCTCACCCTCAGCATCACCTCTGTGCTGGGCCATCACCTCCAGCCCTTCAGAGGCCAAGGCCGTGCCTCTGTTTGAGAGATGTCCATGTTGGAAACCTGGATGTTAGCAAGGACCCTGTAGTGAGAAACCTGGATGTAGCCACAGGATGGGTTCAAACTGAAAGAGGGGAAGTTCAGCTTAGGTAGAAGGAAGTTCTTTATCGTGAGGGTGCTGAGGCACTGGCACAGGTTGCTCAAAGCGGTGAATGCTCCATCCCTGGCAGTGTTCAAGGCCAGGCTGGGCAGAGCCTTGGCTAACATGGTTTGGTGTGCGGCATCCCTGCCCATGGCAGGGGCTTGGAACTGGCTGGTCTTAAGCTCCTTTCCAACCTCACCCATTCTATGATTCTATGACCACCCAAGTGCTTCAGATTACCTCGAGTATCGGGGTCAGGCATTGTCCTTTCCCAGTCCAGCTTTGGCCTGAGGCGGTGTCAAGCCCTGTTCGCTCGCTGCTGCGCGCTGGGTTAGGAGCCTCATCCCTGGAAAACTCCCCCTTCTTTTCCCCTTCCCTCAGGGAAGATCCTCACGGATGACTTTGCTGACAAAGAGGGGCTGGAGATGGGGGACGAGTACTTTGCCAACCTGGACCACATCGAGAGCGTGGAGAACTTCAAGGAGGGCTACGAGAGCGACGCCAAGTGCTCCTCGGACAGCAGCGGTGTGGACCTGAAGGACGACGAGGACGAGAACACGGGCACGGAGGAGCAGGAGGAGTCCAACGAGGACAGCTCCGATGACAACTTCTGCAAGGACGAGGACTTCAGCACCAGCTCGGTGTGGCGCAGCTACGCCACGCGCCGCCAGACCCGCGGCCAGAAGGAGAACGGGCTCTCGGAGACGGCCTCCAAGGACTCCGGGCCTGCCCGGCAGCTTCAGCCCGACGAGGCCCCTGTGGCTGCCTCCTGCAAGCTCCCGGTGTCGGAGGAGACCTCCAAGAACAAGGTGGTGTCGTGGCTGAGCTCCAACAGCATGGCCGACGGCTTCCAGGACAATGACAGCGCCTCCTCCTTCAAGATGAGTGAAGGAGGGGAAGCCAAGGCCTGCAAAGGGGAGATCCCAGGGGAAAGGGAGAAAACCTGCGCTGCTGCCCCGGGAGATGTGGATCAGGAGCTGAAGGCATCAAAGAAAGAAGTAAGGGAGATGAGGAAACGGAGGCGCCGCGATGGGCCTCAGCTGTGCTCTTGCTCAATGGCTTCTCCACGCGGACAACGTGCCTGCGGTGCTCTTTGGTGTCCCCATGCTCTGCTTACTTGGCCTTTGCTTGCTGGGGTAGGGTGGCAGGTGCCTGGTCCCTTCCTGAGGGCTGTTTGGGCATAGGAGGCTACAAAGAAGCTGCTCAGCGTGCGCTGAATGTCCCCCAGGCCCTCGGTGCTCCGTGGCTGTGCAACCCTGCAAGAGGGTGCCAGGGATGGTGGGGACATGGGGGTGCTCTCTGTCCCCTCCCTGCTCTGTTGAGGACCCACCGTATGGGACACAGAGGACGGGAGACCCACGGTCAGGACTTGGCCTGGGTGCCCCACTGAGCGGGGCTGGTGTTTGGGAAGTGGTTGCACAGAAGGGCTGAAGGGTGCTCCAAAAGGGAGAGGTTTTAATTGCGTGTCCTTCTCCCCCCTGCAGGAACCTGAGGACGTAGCCAAAATTCCCGGGTAAGGTTCCTTAACGTGGATTTTCCTGCTTTTCCTTGCCAGCTAAGGAATTGCTGCAGCTTTAGGGCTGCCCTTAACTGGGTTTAACACCAGTGCTGGAGGAAACAGAGCTGGGGCTGGGCCCAGGGGGACCGCTATGGGCTTGTGCAGCTCTCGGTTCCCCCTGCTGCTGTGGCTCTGCCTGGAGATCCAAGGGCACCTGCTCTTCCCACAGGCTGGGTGACTTGGGCAGGATGTATGGATACAACCCCAGCCCTCCCAAGCTCGAGGGGATCCGGAGGCCGACGAGCAGGACGGCGTTGCTGCAGAGCAAGCGGCTTTCCGGCACCCCCCAGCCCAGCACGGATGTAAGCAGAGATCCTAGGGATGGGATGGGCTGGGAATGCCAGACCAGGGTGGGAAGGGGTGGTCCTGGCTCTGCCCCAGCCCCAGCCTGGTTCAGTGAAGGCCTTGAACCTTCGTGAAGGCCTTGAACCTTCCCTGGGGTCTGTTCCTCTGCGCTTCCATTCCCAGCTGGGCACCAGCGCAGGGCTGTGGTTTGGGGCTGTGATTTCCTGGGGGGAAGCTGATTTCCTTCTGCCACTGGGGCCCTTCTGTGGGTCTGGGAGCCCCAGAAACAGAGGCCACGTGGGGTCTGGTCCCTGTGTTGTGAGGGGATGTAGCGCCTTGGTTCCCACACCAGGGATGCGGTGCTCGGCAGGGCAGCCACGGGCCGGGGTTTGCTTTGTGGTGTCGGTCCCTTCCTCCCCAATGCCAACGCTCTCCTTGCCCCAAGGTGCCCTCGGGAGCCAGGGGTCCCTTTGGCCAGGACGTGCTGACCGTGTCGAGCAGCACTGAGAGTGAGGGGGAGAACGGCCCCGCCGCAGCAGGGCAGGGCCAGGCCACCACCAACGACAGCGACGACATCCAGACCATTTCCTCGGGCTCCGATGAGGAGGAGGGGGATGAGAAGAAGAACCCGTCCTCGGGGTCAGGTGAGGAGCACAAAGAACAGGTACAGTGGAGCCACCTGGGGCAGAAGCCACCAAACCGGGCTCCTGGGGCTGTAGCTGTGAGCGTGGTGCGTCCTGCCCCGTGTGCCGATGAGCTCTGTCTCACCAGCCAAGGGCTGAGGCTTCCCCAGGGCTTGTTTGGGCCATAACTGCAAAGCCCAGTCCCCAGGTGCTTGGCATTGTGGAGAGCTGCCTAAAACCAACTGTGAGGTTCATTGGGTCAAGTGGAGAGCTGGGAGGTGCCCTGGAGCCAGCCCAGGGAATGGTTTGGGTCGGAAGGGATGCTGAAGCTCATCCAGTTCAACCCGGGCCACCTTCCACTGGAGCAGGATGCTCCAAGCCCCTGTGTCCAACGTGGCCTTGAGCACTGCCAGGGATGGGGCATCTGAGTCAGTGTCTGTGGGGCTCCTCTTGTGGAAGGTGCAGGGACCACGGTGGAGTCTCCTCCCCTGTGGCAGGTCCCATGAAGAGGCAGGTGGCTGTGAAGTCCACCCGGGGCTTTGCCCTCAAGTCAACCCACGGCATCGCCATCAAATCCACCACCATGGCCGCCGACAAGGGCGAGAGCGCGCCGGTGCGCCGGACCACGCGGCAGTTCTACGACGGCGAGGAGTCCTGCTACATCATCGACGCCAAGCTGGAGGGGAACCTGGGCCGCTACCTCAACGTGAGTCACCTCGAGGGGCAACGGGCACCTTGGGGGGGGCCTGGGGCAGCTCCCATAGGAGCCAGGCTGGGAACGTTGGGGCTGCTCAGCCTGGAGAAGAGAAGCTGCGTGGAGAGCTCAGAGCAGCTTCCAGTGTCTGAAGGGGGCTGCAAGGATGCTGGAGAGGGGCCTTCATCAGGGACTGGAGCGACAGGACAAGGGGTGATGGGTTCAGACTGGAACAGGGGGGATTTAGGTTGGAGATAGGGAAGTTTTGCATAAAGGGACACTGGAATGGGTTGAATGGAGAAGCTGTGGCTGCCCCATCCCTGGCAGTGTTCAAGGCCAGGTTGGAGCATCCTCCTCCAGTGGAAGGGGTCCCTGCCCGTGGCTTTCAATGAGCTTTAAGGTCCCTTCCACCCAGCCCATTAAAAACTGGGAAAAGAGCCGGATGAGGAGGATGGATCCCCACCCCTGTGGCTGGAACCAGGCCCCGTGATGGCCGAGTCAGACCTTCCTCAGCAGCATCACCTTTGCCTATGCAAAGCATCACCTTTGCTGTGGGCAGGGAGGGAGTGGAGCCCCTTCCATGGGGAACGCTGCTGCTTGTCCCAGCTCCAGCCCTGCGCTCACGGTGCCTCTGCTCCCTCCAGCATAGCTGCAGCCCCAACCTCTTCGTGCAGAACGTGTTTGTGGACACCCACGACCTCCGCTTCCCCTGGGTCGCCTTCTTCGCCAGCAAGTGAGTGGGGGGCACAGGGATGGGGGTCCCCTTGTCCTCTTGTCCCCTGCTGTGTCCCCCCCAAGCCTGAGTGGGGAGAACCTTGGTGAGGACCCCCCCAACCTTCTGTGCAGGTCCTGGGCTGGTTTGCACTGGGTTTAGACCTTTCCAAAGGGGGGAGTTAAGCCCCAATCCCCCGCCACGTGGCTCCTGCGCCCCGGGAGCACGGAGTCACCTTTGGGAAGCCCCACGGGAGTGATTCATCAGGGACCTTTGTCCCCGTGCTCCCCATGGAGCCAAAGGCAGCGGTGCCGCCTGCTTCACCCTTGGCCTGGGGGGGGGGGGGGGGGGAGCTGGATTGGTCCAGCGAGGTCAGATGTGAGCGCTGGGAGCGGGAGCTCCGGCTGCTCCTCCCCTCTGGAATGGCCTCTTCCCCTTCTCTCCCCAGGAGGATCCGTGCTGGCACGGAGCTGACCTGGGATTACAACTACGAAGTGGGCAGCGTGGAGGGCAAAGAGCTGCTGTGCTGCTGCGGGGCCATCGAGTGCCGCGGGCGGCTGCTCTGAGCCCCCCGTGCTCCTTCCCTTCCCGGTGGCCTCGTCATTCCCAAGCTGAGGAACTCAGGTTGCAGGGAGCAGACGGACACAAACTGATCCGGACCCCGGGCAGGGGATGTGGGGTGGGGAGGGATGCCCAAACCTGAGCCTCTAGGAGGTGCTTCTGCCACTGGTTTTCCAATGGGAAACACTCCAGGGAACTGCTTCAGGGTGGGACCGAGCTGTGTCCATCCCTGTGGGGTTGGGGGCAGGATGATGGGATGCGCCCAGCTCCAATGGACCACTCTGGGTCAATGGGGTGAACCTCAAGCACTGCAGGTGCATGGGCTGCAGTGGGGGCCTGGTGCAGGAACCTTTCCATTGCTCTGGAGCAATGAACCACGGGTTTGTTACCGAAGCGACGCCCTGGACTTGAGACCAACCAAAACCCCCAAATCTGCCCCATTTTGGCCTCACCCCACTGCAGCTCCACTGACACCACCCCCGTGTGTGAGCCGGAGCCACTGCAGCAGCCACAGATGATTCCAGAGCTCTGGAATTCTCTTTTTTTTTTTTTTCCTGGAAGTTTATTAGTTGTGAACTTTTCGTATCTTTTAAGCTTTTTATTTCTTTCTTTTTTTAAAAAACAAGAACAACAAAACACGTTTTTTGGTCTGTGGTTGGGAATGGTCCTTTCCTTCCTCCCTCCGCGCTGGGACATCCCCACAGCCCGGGATGGAGGCAGGAGACCCCGGAGCCAAGCCCCCGGCTCCTTCTGGCATCCAAATAAATAGAAAACAGCAAAAAACAAGAACACAAAAAGGAAGGGATTGGGCTGTGAATTTGTCCGGGTGGGGGGGGACACAATACCCAAATCCCATTGGCAATAGGAAGGGATCCAACTCCTCCGGGGGCTCCCTTCCCAAGTGTCCCCATGGCCACTGGATCCCCCCCCCCGCCTCCGCCCCGGAATTGCTCCACTCCTCCCTCCCACCCTGCCCCGGGCTTGGGGAAGGGGCTTCTCCCCGTGTTAGAGGCAGCTGCAGGCCGTGCTTCCCGCTGGGATGGGTGGGAAAGGGGGAATAACGGGGCTGGAACCCCGGCACCGCGGTGGCTTAAGGCAGCAGGTGAAAGGCAGGAAGGGCACCACCGCTGTGAGGTGGGGAAGCGGCAACGGCTGCACCCGGAGGGGAGCGAGGTGGTGGTGGTGGTGGTGGTGGTGGCGGCGGGGGGGACACCCCAGGGCGGTGGCTCCGGTGCCTCAGTCGGTTTTGCGGTGGTTGTTGTTGAGCACCGGGTGCCCGTTGGAGAGGGGCCCGTTCTTCTCCTCCTCCTCCTCCGAGTTGTCCGTCTCCTCGCGGTCGCTCCTCTCGTCCTCCACCACCTGTGGGGTGACCAAAGGGGGGGTGTTCAGGCAGCTTCCCCCATTGCAACCACCACGGTTTGACCCCTTCCATGGGCACCACCCAGACCCACATGGGGGCAGAGACACCCCACACACCCAGAGACCCCCTCCATGGCGCCAGAGCCTCCAGTCCCCGTTGAGGGTTCTCTGGGATTCAGGAGCCAAATGCAACCCAGCTCCATGATTTGGGGCTCTCCATCACCCCCCCCCCGTCCCCCTCTTGCCTTTCCAGTTATGAACTTCTGGGCCATGCGGATGATGAGGTAGGCCCAGAAGATGTGCAGCGACTGCAGCACGGCCATCATGAAGTTAAAGAAGTAGTAGCCGAAGAAGGCCGGGTAGAGCTCCAGCGGGTAAACCACGGTGCAGTGCATGATCCTGCCGGGAGAAGCGGCCCCGTTACAGGCAGGGACCAGGATCCTGCCCCCCCTTGCATCTCCCTGCCCCATGCCTCAGTGTCGTCTCCCCCCCCCAGGCCCCCAGCACTCACCAGAAGGGCAGAATGACCAAGCGGGTGATGATGAAGACGGCGGCGAAGACGATGAAGATGTTGTTGCAGGTGTTCCTCCAGCCGGCGTAGTTGAACATCTTGGCAGACTGGGGGGGGAGACAGGGACAGAGGGGGTGAGCGATGGGGACAGAGCTGAAGATGCAGGGGAGAGCTTAGAGCAGCTCCAGTGCCTGAAGGGGCTGCAGGAAACCTGGAGAGGGGCTTGGGACAAGGGATGCAGGGACAGGCCAAGGGGAATGGCTTTAACCTGCCCGAGGGGAGACTGAGATGAGCTCTTAGGCAGAAGCTCTTCCCTGTGAGGGTGCTGAGGCGCTGGCACAGGGTGCCCAGAGAAGCTGTGGCTGCCCCATCCCTGGCAGTGCTCAAGGCCAGGTTGGACACAGGGGCTTGGAGCATCCTGCTCCAGTGGAAGGGGTCCCTGCCATGGCTTTGGATGAGCTTTAAGCTCCCTTCAACCCAACCCACGCCATGGCTCCATGAGGAGGCGGCCGGGGAGGGGCTGTACCTCCAGCAGATAGTCCGAGGAGTCGTGCAGGGCCATGATGAGCGTCCCCGCACGGACGTAGTTGGCAAACCAGGAGAAGCTGATGAGGATGATGGTGGCCACGTGGTGGATGATTTGTTCCTTGAAGTCCTGCACCCAGGAAAGGGGGAGCTGGAGGCTGGAGCAGGCTCCAAACACCACAACCTGCTCGTACCCGAGACCCCCACCACGGCCCCAGTTCCCCCCCAGCCCCAGAGGGTGAAGAACCCCCTGCCAAGGTGCCCCCAGCGAGCCCCATTGCCCCAGCCCACCTTGCGTTTGACATCGGAGGCGATGCTGAAGAGCAGGGACCAGTAGAAGGAGAGCTCGATCATGTAGTACCAGTACTGGGAGGGCAGCATGCTCTGAAAGCCAAGAGACAGCTCGAGGGCTTGAACCCCTCCTGTGGGCACCCGCCAGACCCACAGCACCCAAAGCCCTTCCCTGTGCATCACCCAGACCCACCCGGGTGCCAGGGACAACCCCACACACCCAGAGAGCCCCTCCACAGCACCGGGGCCTCTGGACCCTGCTGCCCAGGGGCAGGAAGGGATGCGGAGGGTGGCCGGGACGGGGCTGGAGCTCACCTGGATGGGGTATCCCTTCCACACCTCCCGGAGGTCATAGAACCAGGGTTTCTGTGGGATGTGGAGGGGAAGAGGGAGACAGAGAGGGGTTAGAGGGGAGCGGGGGGGCCGATGGGGCAGGGGAAGGGGGGGAGCAGTACTTACATCCACTATAACAGCCATGCCAGCAATGAAAGCAATAAGGTAAAAGGTGAATCTCCAACTGGAAAAAGGAAGCAGACGGTCCTCAGGCGGGCACCGGGAGAGGGAGGGAGAAGGACGGACCCACCGGCCCCATGTTCCCCCCGGCCCCTAGGTCCTCCCAGCCACGTGGGTGCCCCGCAGGGTGATGGAGATGGTGATGGGAATGGAGATGGGGATGGGGATGGAGATGGGGACTTTGATGGGGACAGTGATGGGGACGGTGATGGGGACGGTGATGGGGACGGTGATGGGGACGGTGATGAGGACGGTGATGAGGACGGTGATGAGGACAATGACAGGGACAGTGATGGGGATGGTGATGGGGACAGTGATGGGGACAGTGATGGAGACAGTGATGGAGAGACGGTGATGGAGATGGTGATGGAGACGGTGATGGAGACGGTGATGGAGACGGTGATGGGGACGGTGATGGAGACGGTGATGGGGACGGTGATGGGGACAGTGATGGGGACGGTGATGGAGACGGTGATGGAGACGGTGATGGGGACAGTGATGGGGACAGTGATGGGGACGGTGATGGGGACCGTGATGGGGACGGTGATGGGGACGGTGATGGGGACGGTGATGGGGACGGTGATGGGGACGGTGATGGGGACAGTGATGGGGACGGTGATGGGGACCGTGATGGGGACAGGCCCTGGGTCTCACCTGGCCTCCCTGAACTTCTTGAGCAGGCTGGGCCGGTCCTGGTTGCGGCGGCGGCGGAACCAGCGCTCCACTTGCCGCACGGTGCAACCGCTCTTCTTGGAGAGCATCTCCACATCAGCCTGGGGACAGCGGGGCCGTCACCACCGTCACACAGGGACCCGGCTCTGCTGCTTGTATCCCCCTCCCCAGCCACACCAAGCCCCCCCCCCATACCTCACCTGCTTGGGGTGCTTGGAGGTGGCAGCATAGAACTTCTCCAGCACGGGGTTGGGGGTGGCTTTTAACCTGATCTTCTCCTTGACGTTCAGGAGCCCGGCCAGGGGGGTGGCCACGTACCTGGGGAGGGAGCAGGGGACCGAAGATGTCGTTTCCGTGCCACCTGGTTGATGCGGCCCCATCAAAGCCCCCTCAGTGCCTGTTTCCCCATCCCACCGTGGGGTTTCAGCACCCAAAGGCCCTGTGGCCACGGAGCAGCGGGGCCGTGGTGGCCTCCCCAACAAAGCCCCCTCTGTTCCCGACCGTTGTTTGCCCCAGGCAGCGCTCCTGGAGGATGCACAAAGCCGGATTGTGCAGAGCCCTCGGGGACGGGGGACACGGGGCAGGACCCCAGGGTGCCCCCATCGCACGGAGGGGATCCCTGGCACAGGGGGAAGGGACTCACGTCTCGAAGAGGTGCCGGACAACGAGGAAGACGAAGGCCAAGGGGATGGTGATGTAGAGGTCGGAGGCTTTGGCGTAGACTCTCCCATCCCGGTCCTCCAGGTCGGCCCAGGTGAGGTTCGCCGGGAGCCAGAGCCGCTCCCACCAGAAGCAGTTGTACAAGGCCTGGAACATGCTGGGGAGGAGGAAGGGAAAGAGCAGGGGAGAGGTGAGGGGGGCCCTGGCACCCAATTCCCCCCCCAACTCCCTTCCTTCTGCTCCCGGCTCCGGCGCCGCAGGACTTTGCTCCCGGCCGCCGAGGGGTCAGCGGGTGAACATTAACCGGAGCCGTGGCAGCGGCTCCAGGGAGGAACCCGGCTCCCGGGCACGGGGACTTCCCCGTTTGCATGGGCTCGAACGGGAATAACGCCGGGATGAGGCGAACGGGAGCCCCTCGGCAGCGGCCGGGCCCGGGCGCCCGCCCAGGGCAGGATTAGGGCTTTGCCAACGGGACAATGAGCGCTTTGTGCCTTAAAAAGGCTCCTGACGGGCACCGGGAGGGAGCGGGCAGCGCGGGGCCGTCACGGCCGCCGCCACCGGGGGGCTCGGTGCAGGCCGGGTTTGCGGCTCCTCCGGGACGGGACAGGCCGGGACGGGGGTCCCGGGAGGTGAAAGCCCCAACGTGGAGCAGGGGCTCAGGGAAGCAGCGGGGCCGGTTCCCGTTGAACCGGGATGGGCCGGGCCGCGGGCACGTAACGGGAACGTAACGGGCAAGGGGAGGCGGGAGCCCGCGGGGGGAGACCCCGGCCCCCCGCGTTCACCGGGGCTCCGCTGCTGCCGCGGGGGTGCGGAGGGGCCGGAACCGGGGGGGGGGGGGGGGGGGGGGGGTGTGGGAGTGAACCGGCAGCCGGGCACTCCCGGGCCGGTTGAGTCGCGACCCCGCGTCCCGGGGGCAGAACCGGGCCCCGCTGCGCAGCGACCCCGCACCGGGGGGTTCCGGGTCCCCGCCGGCTCCGGGAGGGTCCCAGCGGGGGCGGAACCGCCCTGGGAGCACCGACGGAAAGGCCCGGTCTGAGGGGGGGGGGAAGGGCCCCAGCCCCCGCCCCCACCGCAGCCGAACCGGTACCGGTAGCGCCGAGGCCCCGGTGCGGGGTCGCCCCCTCCCCTCCCCCCGCCCCTCCCCCACTCACGCGCCGCCGCCCGGAGCCGCCGCCGCCGCCTCGCGCCAGGCAGCGGCCGGGAGTGACGTCACCGCCAGCACCGAAGGCCCGCAGGGGAACGGGGCGGGGCCGCCAGGCCTGGGCAATCGAGCGCCGAGACGAGGAGCGGCCCCGCCCCGCGTGTGCGTGCGTGCGTGCGTGCGTGCGTGCGTGCGTGCGTGGGAGGGGGGGGGCGGAGCGGAGGGTCCCGGTTTCCCCCCCCAAACCCCCGTGTCCGTGAGGCCCAGGAGCCCGCCCCGGTGTCAGAGCCAGAGCCGTGCACATGGGGACAAGTCCTTTATTCGCCAAGCGCTAAGGCCACGGTTCAGACACGGAGGGGGGACGGGGAGGAACGTGTGTGACCCCCCCCATGTGTGTCCCCCTGCGGGGGGAGCCCCCCCGTGTTAAGGCCACTGGAAAGATTTGGGTGGTCCCAGCAATGGGGGGGGAGGACCCCCCCTTCCTCCATGCGTTTTCCCTGCTTCTGGCCCCAGGTACCCCCTGGAGGCCAGGATGGGAGGTTGGGGGTCTCTGGATGTGGGGACGGCCCCCGCCCCCCCAAGCCCCTGAGGAGCCCCCACAGGGGCTATAGGATGACACAGTCCAAGTCTGGCTTCTGCCGCTGCCTCTGCTCCCTGGGTGGCCGACCCCAGCCCTGTGGGTGCAACAAAGGGGGTGGGAGGACCCATAGAACCTCCCCCCCCCATCCATCACCCCCCTGGCCCAGGCGGTGGGGCAGAACAGGGTAGGGGGGAGAAGCACCCACACCCCCCCCTCCTCGCTGCAGCCCCAGGTACCTGCACTGGGGCCTGCGGCTGCTGCTGTGGGTGATGGCGATGCTGAGGATGCTGCTGCTGCTGCTGCTGATACTCCTCCTGCTGCAGCTGCTGCGCCAGCTCCAGGTCACTGAGGGTGGAGGGCTCCTGCCCCTGCTGCTGCTGCAGGGACAGAGCTATCAGGTAATCCTGGAGGGGGATAGAAAAAGGTTGCTCAGCACAGCAGCACCCATGGAGCTGGGACGGGACCTGGGTGTCCCCTGCTGCCACCCATTGTCCCCCTTACCTGGTCCACTTGTCTCTGCTGGAGCTGGTGGTCCGCGGGGGCCGCAGCAGCCCCCTCCTTGGCCGGCGTGTGGCTGAGATGGAAATCGGTGTCGCAGAAGCAACTGTCCCCATCCACGTTGTGGAGGCTTTCCCAAACCACCTTCTCCTCCTGCAGGAAGCCCTGGTCCGTCACCAGCAGGTAAAGGTGGCCCTGGGGACAGGGGAGAAGGGGCAGTGGCTCCCAGGCAGCCCTCGGTGGGTCTGGAAGGAAGGCGGGGAAGGGGCTGGAGCTGCACCTTGTGCTTGGTCATGGTGCTGAAGTGGTTGTTGCGGAAGAAGACGCTGAGCTCGCCCTCCCTCACGGCCCCCGTGAGCTCACACAGCCCATGGTAGGTGAGCTGGGAGGCCGTGGACTCCAGGAACTGCTCTGCCACCAGCCCTAGGGGAGGAGGACAGGGGGTGGCAGTGGGGCTGGGGTGACCAGCACCCCACCAGTGACCACAGCAGGGCAGGGAGGGGGGGGGTTACCTTCGCTCACCAGGCTGGAGTCACTCGCCTGTTTGCAGGTGATGATCTTCTCCACCAGTTGGTTGTAGCTGAGCTTGCCCACGGCCTGGACCACCTCCGGGCTCTGCAGGGAGGGGACACTGAGCAGCAGCTCTGTGGGGACCTGCCCCCAAGCCACAGCAGCCCCAGGGAGGGGGGGATTGGACCTTCCCCAACCAAGCTGGACCATGGCTCCATCACGGGGATGTCCAAGAAGCTGAGCTGGTGGCTTCCAGCGTGCGGAAGGGTTTGGGTTGGAAAGGACCTTCAAGATCATCCAGTCCAACCTCCTGCCATAGGCAGGAAGTAGGTCAGGTCCAAAATCCCATCCACAGCATCACAGAAAGGTTTGGGTTGAAAAGGACCTTCAAGATCATCCAGTCCAACCTCCTGCCATAGGCAGGAACTAGGTCAGGTCCAAAGCCCACCCACAGCATCACAGAAGGGTTTGGGTTTGGAAAGGACCCTCAAAACTCATCTAGGCCAGGGGCAGGGCCACCTTCCACAAGAGCAGGTTGCTCCAACCTGACCTCGAGTGTTCCCAACAATGGGGCATCCACAACTTCTCTTGGCAACACGTTCCAGTGTCCCACCAGCCTCACTGTAAAATACTTCTTTATGCCCCATCTAAAGGGACACAAGGAGTTTATGCCCCTCTTCCAGTTTAAACCCATTGTCCCTTGCCCTGTCACCCAGCTCATGGAAAAACCTTCTCTCCATCTTCCCTCTACTCCTCTTATAGAACCATAGAATAGTTAGGGTTGGAAAGGGCCTGAAGATCATCCAGTTCCAACCCCCCTGCCATGGGCAGGGACACCTCGCACTAAACCATGGCACCGAAGGCTCCATCCAACCTGGCCTTGAACACCACCAGGGATGGAGCATTCACAACCTCCCTGGGCAACCCATTCCAGTGCCTCAGCACCCTCACAGGAAAGAATTTCCTCCTTAGATCCAATCTAAACCTCCCCTGTTCCAGTCTGAACCCGTTACCCCTTGTCCTGTCACTGCAGTCCCTAATGAAGAGTCCCTCCCCAGCATCCTTGCAGCCCCCTTCAGACACTGGAAGCTGCTCTGAGGTCTCCACGCAGCTTCTCTTCTCCAACCTGAACAGCCCCAACTTCCTCAGCCTGTCTCCATACAGGAGGTGCTCCAGCCCCTGAGCATCCTTGTGGCCTCCTCTGGACTTGTTCCAACAGTTCCACGTCCTCTTTATGTTGAGGACACCAGAACTGCACACAATGCTCCAGGTGAGGTCTCACGAGAGCAGAGCAGAGGGGCAGGATCACCTCCATGACTGCTGGTCACGCTCCTTTGGATGCAGCCCAGGACACGGTTGCTTTCTGGGCTGTGAGCGCACACTGAACCCGGCTCATGTTCATTTTCTCATCGACCAACACCCCCAAGTCCTTCTCCTTGGGCTGCTCTGAATCTCTTCTCTGCCCAACCTGTAGCTGGGCCTGGGATTGCTCCCACCCAGCTGCAGGACCTTGCCCTTGCCATGGTTAAACTCCACGAGGTTGGCACCAGCCCACCTCACAAGTCGAGGTCCCTCTGGATCCCATTCCTTCCCTCCAGCGGATCAACCGAACCCCACAGCTTGGGGTCATCGGCAAACTGCTCCTTTGCTCCAGGATGAACCCCAGCTCTTCACAGCAGAGGTGCTGCAGCTCCTTGGATGGCTCCCTGGCCCCACGGCAGCCATGGGGCAGCTCACCTGGGGGTCCACCAGCCAGCCGTGGTAGAGCGGGACGTTGAGGAGGTCGAAGACGATGCACTCAGGTGTGTACTCAAAGTCCGAGACCCCCGTGAACCTCACGTTGACGTCCAGCCCCGTCGAGAGCTTGGGAAGCACCATCATGGAGTCACTGATGTTCTGGGGGGCAAGAATGGGGGGGGGTTGCTTGGGAAGCGGGCTGGCACCCCAAGCCCTGCAGCCCAAGGCCACCAGAGCTCCCCGAGCTGGAAGGGAGCGGGGTTTGGGCTGGGATTGTTCCTCACCTGCTGGAAGTTGAGCTGCAGCCCCTCCGATGGCTCCCGGGGCTGGGTGGCCAAGATGCAGTCCCCTGCAAGGCAACACGGTGAGGCCCCGGTGAGCCCCGGTGAGCCCCAGTGAGCCCCGGTGCCACCGCGCTGGCAGCAGGACAGGGACAGCCTCACCCAAATGTGCCATCAGCTCCTCGGCCGTGACCACCTCCTTCTGTGGGGGCAGCTTCACCTGGAAGCAGCGAGAGGCTCAGGAGCATTCCCAGGCCCCTTCCCTTCACGATCCAGAGGGATTTGAGGCCGATCCCCCCCCCAGGTCCTCCCCTCTGCACCCCACTTGCCTTCCACTGCAGGAGGAGGATGTTCATGATGGCGAGGAGCGGGCAGGGCCCGTTCTCACTCTGCATGATGACCGGGGTCCTCTCGCCCTTCCAGCTGATCCACTTCACGCAGTAGAATTCCTCCTGCACTTCCCGACTCGGGGGCTGGATTTGGGGGGGCGCCGAGGGTAACCCCAGTGCCCCAGCACTGGGGCTGGGCATGGGGGGACCTGGCAGGGACCCCCCATCCTCCACACACTGCTTCTCCTCAGCATCTTCCTGCAGATGCTCGATGGGGGGGAGATGTGGGGCACAAGAAGCATCCGGTGCCAGGATCTCCTCGCTTCCAGTCACCTTTTCCTCCCCACCAACGGCCTCTTCCAGGAGCTGGGGGCTCCCTTTCCCATTGGAAGGGGCTGGGAGCATCCCTTCCTGCTCCGGTGGCTGCTCCATCAGGAGCCTCACCGTGGTGTCCTGCCTTGAGTGGGTCTGGATCAGGCTCCTGGGAACACTCCGGGTCTGCCCAGGAATGGCCGCATCCCAAATATCTCCATTAGAAGGGAAAAATTGGGAATTTCAATTAAAACCACGTATTTCGGTCCAATTTATTCACCAGGAATGGCTCGTGTAGCTTCGAGTTCCTCTTCCCAATTCCTCTACATTCATTTAAGTCATTATCTGCCTCCCATTGGGAAGGAAAGAAGGAAAATCCCAAACCAACCTGGGAGGAACTGAGGGGTTCAATGGATCCGAAGCGGCGCAGGGAAAGGTTGGAATCCTGCACTTCCACAGGGGTTTTCCTGCAAACTCTTTGGCCAAGATGCTCCTGCAGAGAGATTTGGGAAATTCGGCTTAGAAATCCTGGAATTTGAGGAAATTTGGCTTAGAAATCCTGGAATTTGAGGAAATTTGGCTTAGAAATCCTGGAATTTGAGGAAATTTGGCTTTCAACTCCTGAAGAGATTCAGGAACTTTGGCAACGTTCAGGAACGTTGTGCCAGCAATCCTGGTCTGGACCCTTGTATTCCCAAGGGGATTGGGACGCTCCGAGAGAGATGGGGATGGAAACACCCAGGTTGGGTGGAAATTGGGTGGAAAAGGGGGTTTTCTGGGGGGAGGTGATGAAATTCCAGGAGAAAATCAAGGGGTTGGTGCCCTCCGAGCTGTTCCTGCCTGGTTTAGGGCTGGAGCGAAGGGATTTTGGGAGAGAGGAAAGGAAGGGAATGGTGCCTAAGCCAAACATAGTAGTAGTAGTAGTAATAGTAGTATAATTATTGTCCTTATTTAATAAGTAAGTAGCACAGAGGTGGAGCAATAAATAACTACGCCAACATTCCCAAGGAATAGACATGAAGAAATACCATTAATAAACACATAAAGCACCATTCCTCCAGGAACAAATCCACAAACAAGGAAATAAAGCCAGAAAATGGGAAAGAAAAAGTGTGGGAGTGAAGGAAATGAATGCTCTTGGTAGAGCAATGGGTGGGAGGCGAGTAAAGAGCTGAGGGTTATTGGGTGATGAGTAAGGATTTAATAACTGGGTAAGGAATTACTAAGGAGGAGATGGAGGAATGGGGTCAATGAGTGAGGGAATGTGGCTGGAATCTGGGAGCAGAATGAAGTGGTGAGGAAAAATAAATGAAAGGAAAGGAAATAAGTAAAATAAAATGAAATTAAATTAAAAGTAAAATAAAAGGAAAGGAAGTAAAGGGAAATAATGGGAAATGAAGGGAAATAAGGGGAAATGAAGAGAAATAAGGGGAAATGAAGGGAAATAAGGGGAAATGAAGGGAAATAAGGGGAAATGAAGGGAAATAAGGGGAAATGAAGGGAAATAAGGGGAAATGAAGGGGAATAAGGGGAGATGAAGGGGAATAAGGGGAAATAAAGGGGAATAAGGGGAAATAAAGGGGAATAAGGGGAAATAAAGGGGAATAAGGGGAAATAAAGGGGAATAAGGGGAATAAAGGGGAATAAAAGGGGAATAATGGGAAATAATGGGAAATGAAGGGAAACGAAGGGAAACGAAGGGAAATAAAGGGAAATAATGGAATTAAAGGGAAGTAAAGGGAAATAATGGTAAATAAATAAAGGGAAATAATGGGAATTAAAGGAAAAAAAGGAGAAATAATGAGAAATAAAGGGCAATAAAGGGAAATAAAGAGAAATAAAGGGAAATAAGGAGAAATAAAGGGAAATAAGGGGAAATAAAGGGAGATAAGGGGAAATAAAGGGAAATAAGGGGAAATAAAGGGAAATAAGGGGAATTAAAGGGAAAAAAGGAGAAATAATGAGAAATAAAGGGAAATAAAGAGAAATAAAGGGAAATAAGGAGAAATAAAGGGAGATAAGGGAAAATAAAGGGAAATAAGGGGAAATAAAGGGAAATAAGGGGAATTAAAGGGAAATAAGGGGAATTAAAGGGAAATGAGGGGAATTAAAGGGAAAGGAGGGGAGATAAGAGACCCGGCACTGCCGTCCCAGGGAAGGGGTCCCTCGCTCCCAGGAGCCGCCCGCAGCCGGCGCCGCTCCCGCCCCGCCAGGAGCCGGTTCTGAGGCACCGGGAGCCGGAAAAACCGGCTCGGGGAGGCGGCTCCAGCCCCGGCCCAGCCCCAAATCCCCCCCCCCCGGCAGCGGGGCCGGGGTCCCGCGTCCCCCCCGCCCCGGTGTCACCGGCCCCGCAGCCCCCGGTCCGCGCTTACTGTGCAGCCGCTGCCGCCGTGGGTCCGCGCCGCCTCCCGCCTGCTCCTTTCCTCCTTTTCCTGCTTTTTCCTCCTTTTCCTTCTTTATTCCTACTTTTCCCTCCTTTTTCCTTCTTTATTCCTGATTTTTCCTTCTTTATTCCTGATTTTTCCTTCTTTATTCCTGCTTTTTTTTCTTCTTTATTCCTTTTTCCTTCTTTATTCCTGCTTTTTTTCTTCTTTATTCCTGCTTTCCCCCTCTTTATTCCCGCTTTCCCTTCCTTATTATCCTTCCTATCGGCTTTTTCCTTCTTTATTCCGCCTTTTTCCTCCCTTTTCCTTATCTCACTTTTCCCCTTCTTTTTTTCCTCCCTTTCCCTTCTTTATCCCTCTTCTTTCCCCCTTTTCCCTTCTCCCTCCTTCCACCCTGTCCCCTCAGCCGGGAGGGCGGTTTGACAGGAGGAGGAGGAGGAGGAAGAGGAGGGGTGGGAAGCAAAGGCAGCGACGCCGCTTCCCTCCGGGCACACCGGAGCTTCCCGGTGCCTTCCCCACGCGAGGCCTAAGCGCTGGGAACCCCCAAAATCACCGGGATTTAACGCCCGGTGCTGGGCGGGATGAGGGGGGGTGTTAAAGGGAGGGTGTTAAAGGAGGGGTTGAGGTGTCTGGAGGGGGTCCGGAGCCTTTTGGGGGGTCAATGCGGTGACCGCGACCATCACCGCCACCTCAGGCCTCAGCGGGGGGGGCCCGCGCAAGGGCTGCCGGGAAGGAGGCGGGCGCCGCACGTGGGGGTGGTGCCGGGGCCGGGACCGTCCCGTGTCGTACCCGGTTGTACCGGGCGGGCCAGGGGCCGCATCCGGATCGGCGCCGGCATGGAGCGGTTCGTGCAGGGGAACCGGGCGGCTCTGCAGGTAGAGGGGCTGGGGGGAGGCGGGGGCTGGGGAGGGAATTGGGATGCTCAGGGCATTGGGGTGCAGGGACTTGGGGTGCCCAAGGGGGCGGGATGCGGGGGAACTGGGATGCTGGGATTAGGGTGCAGAGGTTTAGGGTGTAGGGGAAGGGAACTGGGATGCTCAGGGCATTGGGGTGCAGGGGTTTGGGGTGCCCAAGGGGGTGGGATGTAGGGGAACTGGGATTAGGGTGCAGAGGTTTAGGGTGCAGGGGAGGGAACTGGGATGCTCTGGGGATTGGGGTGCCCAAGGGGGTGGGATGCAGGGGAACTGGGATGCTGGGATTAGGGTGCAGAGGTTTAGGGTGCAGCGGAGGGAACTGGGATGCTCAGAGCATTGGGGTGCAGGGGTTTGGGGTGCCCAAGGGGGTGGGATGTAGGGGAACTGGGATGCTGGGATTAGGGTGCAGGGGACTGAATTGGGATGCTCTGGGGATTGCGGTGCAGGGGTTTGGGGTTCACGGGGACTGGGTGCTCAGGGGAGCAGAGTGCTGGGGGAATTGGGGTGCCCAAGAGATAGGGGTGCAGGGGGACTGGGGTGCAGGGGTTTAGGGGGGCAGGAGGGAACAGGGGGCAGAGGTTTAGGGTGCAGGGGAGGGAACTGGGGTGCTCAGGGGATTGGGGTGCAGGGGTTTGGGGTTCATGGTGACTGGGTGCAAAAGGGAGCAGGGAGCTCAGAAGGTGGGGGAATTGGGGTGCAGGAGTTTAGGGTGCAGGGAGGGAATTGGGATGCTCATGGGCTTGGGGTGCAGGGCTTGGGGGGCAAGAGGCAGCAGGATGCAAGGGTTTAGGGTGCAGGGAGGGAATTGGGATGCTCATGGGATTGGGGGGCAGGGGTTTGGGGGGCAGGAGGGAGCAGGATGCAAGGGTTTAGGGTGCAGGGGGGAATTGGGGTACCCAGGGGAGTGAGGTGCAGGGTGCAGCAGGGCTGTGTGCCCAGGGGAGCAAGGAGACTGGGTTCCCCGTGCCTGGGACCTGGAGTGCAGGCACGCACACAAGCGGGTGCCCAGGGCATCAAGACCCTTCCCTGGGGTGCACCCATGTCCCCTGGAGAGGGGGCCCACGACAGCTCAGGCTGGGCTGACAGAGCCACACCGGGGCCACCCCAAGCCACTTCCATGCTAGGGGCTCCCCAGCACCCCCAGCCCTGTCCCTGCTCTCCCAGCACCGGGTACTGGTTCCCAGTCCTGCTGCGGGGTTACCACCACCGCCGGTGGCTCTCGCTTGCTGCCTTCCTTGGCTTACAGTGAACAAATGAATCTGGGTCATGGCATCAACTCCTTGTCACCAAAACCAAGGCCTGGAGACAGGGCGGCTCCCTCGAGGGCGACAGGATGGGTGCCAGCACCCAGGGAGGGGGGATTTAGGGGTGACGTGGGTGACACCGTCATGGCTTTGCTGCTGCAGGCAGGAAAACTGGGGTGAAACGTTGTCTTTTGGGGGGACAGCCACCCCCAACTCACCCCTCTGCAAACCACACTTTGTGCTGCCAGGCTGCGACAGCATTCCCCGGCTTGGGAATGTCCCAGTCCCCGCTGCTACTGCTGGCGGAGCTGGGTGTTCCCGTCGTCCTTGGGGCCGCGGCGCCTCCGGTTTCACACACGTGCCCCAAAACGTGGCTTCTGTGCCAGAAATGGATCCTGCCAGCAGGGTGATGGGATGCCAGGCGCTGGCGGGTGGCACATGGGTGACGTCCGCGACGGGTCCCTCTCTGCTCCCTGCCTGCCTGATGCCTCCCACCCCGGCAGGAGCGCATCCAGCGTCACCAGGAGATCCACGTGGTGATGGGCAACGAGGCCTGCGACCTGGACTCCACCGTCTCAGCCCTGGCCCTGGCTTATTTCCTGGCACAGGTGAGGCTCAGCCGTGGGTCTGGGGACGAGCGGTGGCTTGGGGACATCTCACCGGTTGTCACCCCCTGCCCCAGACCTCCCCGGCTCCCAGAGCCGCCTTCATCCCAGTGCTGAACATCCCTCGCGCTGACCTCGCGCTGCGGACGGAGACGACGTTCCTGCTGCGGGAGCAGGGCATCCCCACGGCCTCCCTCATCTTCCGGGATGAGATCGACCTGGCGGGGCTGCACCGCGCCGGGCTGCTCTCCCTCACGCTGGTCGATCACAACGTCCTGCCCAGGTGAGCAGGGGGCACATGGGGACAAGCGGGGCCACCCACCCCAAGCCTGGTTGGTGTCGAGTCTGGCCTCAGGGTGGGTGAAGTCTTTCCCTTTCCGGGGTGTTTTAGGGAAGGATTTGAGGAATAAAGGGAGCTTCACCTCCCCATCTCGCCCACCAGCACCGACGCAGCCCTGGAGGATGCCGTGGTGGAGGTCCTGGATCACCGGCCGCTGGAACGGGCCCGAGGTCCCGGCTGCCCGGTGACAGTGGCGCTGGTGGGGTCCTGCGCCACGCTGGTGACTGAGCGCATGGCCCAAGGTCCCCCGGGGGTGCTGGACCGAGCCACGGCCACGCTGCTGCACGGTGAGCACGGGGTGGCCCTCGATGAACCGTGGCGATAGGGGACGGGGACGGCTGATGGCTCCTGGTTGTCCCCTCCAGCCACCATCCTCCTGGACTCCATCAACCTGAGCCCTGCCGCTGGCAAGGTGACACCCAGGGATGTGGCGTGTGTCTCCCTGCTCGAGGAGAGGTTCCCCGACCTGCCAGCCCGGGACACCATCTTCAGGACCCTGCAAGCCACCAAGTTTGATGTCTCGGGTCCGTGCCCGGGGTGGTGGGATCCACTGGGACAGACCCATCTCCCTGGGATCAAGGACTCACACTCGGCTCCTCTTTGCCTCCTAGGGCTGACGACGGAGCAGATGCTGCGGAAGGACCTCAAAGTCCTCTCTGGCGATGAGCTGGTCCTCGCCATCAGCGCCATCTACGTGGACCTGGAAGTGAGAGCCGGCAGGGGAGGAAACTGAGGCAGGAGGCGGCACAACGGTGACACCGAGGTGACACCAGGGTCTCTCCCCTTCCAGACCTTCCTGCACAGGCCTGGTTTGCTGCAGGACCTGGATGCTTTCTGCCAGGCTCAGGGCTACACGGGGCTGGTGGCCATGATCGTCCCTTATGATGAGAGCAATGTGCTCACCCGGCAGCTCGCGGTCTACAGCCAGCACGAGACCTTCCGCAGTGCTGTGAGTTGGGGGGCCGGGACCTCAAAGTCCCCAACACAGGGGCCTGGGGTAGCAGCCAGGCTGTGGCTCACCCCAAAAGCTGCTGGGTTTGGGGCATTGGCACCCTGCTCCCCCCCTCCTTGCAGGTGTGCCGGGCGCTGGAGGAGGCCACGACACCGGCCCTGCACCTCCAGCCCGTCCCCAGCCCCTGGTCCTGTGTCACTGCCTACAACCAAGGCAACGCTTTGGCATCGAGGAAGAAGGTGCTGCCCATCCTCAGGGCAGCGCTGGCGGGGCCCGATGCTGCCCTGGGGGGGCCGGAGGAGGAGGTGGTGCCACCCCCCACCCCCATGAACAGCCTGGTGGAGGAATGTCCCCTGGCACAGGCTGTGCCCCCCCTCTGTCCCCAGGATGTCCTGGAGCGCATCAGCCGCATCGCCGCGGGGCAGCCCCCAGGCTCCCCAAAGTAACAGCATCAGCACCCCGTGGATGTGGGGGTCCACACAATGAGGTGGGGTCACTGGGCAGGTCCCCGTGGGCTGTTTGGGCATAGAGGGGGTGCAGCCACCTCCGTTAGCACTCAGCTCCCTGATGGGGATGGGCTCCCATTGCAGTTTGCACCCCCTGCCCCGATGGTCCTGCTGGGGTTTGGGTCCTCCCAGGTGGGATTTTGGGGACCCTATGGGCATGAGGGCCAGCAGCACTCGCATGCACTTTAACAAAGGCACTGGGGAGGTTAACAAGTTCCTGCCATTCTTCCTTCCTTGGGGTGGCTCTGGGGGTCCAGGATGGTGGGGCTGAATGTGCAGCCAGCCCGATGCTATCACCCATGTGCTCTGAGGATTAAACTTCCCTCTTCCACTCTTGGCTCTTGCCTCTTCTTCTGGGATGGGTCCAGTGCTGCCCCACTCACCCCAGGGGGTCCCCCTCTTCTTCTGGGGTGCAAACCTCCCTGGGGGTATTTGCCATGGTGCCAGGCACAGGACAAGTGGCTGGAGGATAGCATGGATCCGAGTATGGTGCAGCCTTACAAGCAGGTCCTCTCCCATGGGGGTAGCTGGGTCCCCCCCCCGAGCCCACTGGCCCATAGCAGATGCAGGCAAGGAGACAGGGAAACCCTTGGCACAGCTCAGCTGCACCCATCAGCTCCTGGCACCCTTCTGAAGGGCGGCTGTGACCCTGCAGCTGAAAGGCCGGTCGGGCACAAGGCAGGGGCTGATGTTCCCACTCCCAGGCTGCCTGCTGGGTGCTGTGGAAGGCAGCAGGGACCTGGTGGTCTCACCTTCCCTTGGCAAGCACCACAACAGCCCCCCCACCACAGCAATCTGTGCTTGCTTGGCCACCTAATGCTCCATCTGAAAGGAAAATGCACATACCTCACCCTCCATTCTTTGTAGGGTACATGGGATCTCTGCCCTGTCTCGCTCCTTCCTACCACATTTTACTCTGGGGGAGGGGTGCACCCATGCTCACTGTCTCTGTATCTTCTCTGAACAATCTCCTTCTGGCCTTTCAGGACCCCCTTGGATGTCATGGATGTGACACCTATGTCGGGATGAACATGGCTGCAGAACTTCGAGCAGCACCAGGGCTGGTCTTCCAACCAGGCTGAACTCTAGCATGAGCTGGACACCAGCAGGAGAAACAAGCCAAGTGGCAGCAATGAGCAGTTCCTAGGATGACCCACACCTGATCCAAGAGCACCTTCTGTGTTTAGTCACAAGCATCCCTGGTCCAAGCAGCTCTCCAGAGCTGAGCCTACATCAGACATCTCCAACAACCCACACAGGAACTTCCCTCTGAAGAGTCCCGGTTGAGGAACACCCTTCCTCCAACCTTCAGCACTTCTCCACCACAACTAACCCCTGGAATAGCCTGGAAAAGGCCCTGCTGAAACCCAGTCACCTCCCAGTCACTGCACTCACCTCACCACAGCTCCCCTCTCTCCTTTCTCCCTACTGATAGCAATGAGATCACACGAGATTCCATACTAACAACCTGGAACATCCATGAAAGAGGAAGAAGAGCCAGTTTGGTACCCAGGAAGAGGAACCCCCATGGGGAGGTGTTTGTCAGTAAACCTGCATCTTCTAAGTAAAACCATGCAAAAATAAGAGTATTTGCAAAGAGTTTCTCTAAGGTGGGAATTCAGAATGTAGCCCTATGTTATTTTTGCCACAGGTTTGAGGGAAAGAAGCGAAAAGACCCCATGTATCACAAGAAATCTCAGCAGAAGGCCCTAAAGCACTGCCTCAGCACCTGATTTCCACTGGAAAGCACAGGACTGTGCTGATGGAGGTAGCAAAGATGGGAGGGGGCAGAAGCAGGGTTAAAACACCTCGCTATTCAGGAGATACCAAAAGGAACGAGGAAAGGGGAATATGATGAGAGAGCTGTCTTAGGAGGGGAGCACACGGCTGTTATGTGCATCAGCTCTACAGAGGGATGTCATGACAGGTCATTGTCATCTTTGCCTCTGAAACCCTGGGGGGGGGGGGGGGGGGTGTAAACGTGAGGGACTGGGACCTGGGAGGGGGTGGGCGTGAAAAGAAAAGAGCCACCTGCCTGGAGATCATCTCTGCCGGGACTCGAACCCGGAACCTCTGGATTAGAAGTCCAGCGCGCTCGTCCATTGCGCCACAGAGACCTCACCACGGCTGCAGCATCCGCACCAGAACTGAAAAATTCCGCATCTCCGGCATCACCGGCGCGGCCCCAGCACCTGGAGCTGAGGCTGGAGGAAAGCCGGTGCCCAGCTCAATCCCCCTGGCAAATCCCCATCTCCAGCATCCCTGCTTCCACAGGCATGGGGGGGGGGGTGAGCTGCATCTCACGCAGCAGCAGGGATGCAGCAAAAACCTGGATGCAGGCTCCTATCGGCGTCTCTTTCCATAGCATCTCCCGCTTGCCTGAGGGCAGAGCTAAAGCCTGGAGGAGAGTTAATTGCTGCATCTCCCTCAGCATCATCGCAGTATCCTCAGTGCAGTAAGCCAAGAGAGAGGGAGATGAAAGAGGATTCAGCTTACGGCACCCAACACTGACAGTGATGATGAAAGCTCTGTTTGTCACGATGAAAAATGCAGAAACCTGTGGTTTGAGCACAGAAAGGAAAGGAAAAGCAGCTACCGTGGGTTTATTTTCAACCAGCTGTCAATCAGGGCTTTAATGTTTCCCTGTGTGCAGCTCCCATTAGAAAAAAAAAGGCATCAAAACACCAGGAAATCTCCTTTTACATCCACTGAGCTCCTATTAGCAACTGATCAGACTCTGTGGCACGATTCCTTGCTGTGAACAAACCCGTTCTGCATTTCAGAACTGCAGGGATTTTAGGGTATTGTTTACTCCTAAACATGCTCTTTATTAAAGGCAAGGTATTAACTGCTGCTCACAGCACTAACAACCTCAGCACATCTAATGCAAACCCAACGAATTTGGGCTTCCTTTGCCTGATGCTCTGAGGCTTTGGAAACATTGAGGCTTCTCTTGACAAGTAAAATCCAGCTGGAAGTGATGGGAACAAAGGCAGGGGTTTAACTTCTGTCAGACTAAACCCCTCCTGCTGCAAGAGAGACCCGGTAAATCAATAACCCTTGAAATAAGTAACACTGTGCACCAAGTGTAATCCCACCTTGAGCCAACTCAAAGGGTAGAAAACGCCTCTCTGCAGGGTGAGCAGAGGCTGTGCTTAACGAATGTCACCCAAAACATCCAGCTCAAAGTCATAAAGCAAAAATTCAGAACAGAAGGGAAGAAATAAATCTCCCCCAGCCCGGGGCTGCACTCTGCATGCTCCCCATGGGAGGAGACATCTCCAGCTCTTTTGATATGATTTTGGGAGGCTGCACCTCAAAAGCGTTGTTACCAAGCAAGACACAAAGGTGGAGATGAAGCATTCAAGGGCACAAACCTCAGCAGAATGACTGTGGCTTTGTGGGCCAGGAGTCAGAGGGCAGCTGGGGTTTGAAAGAACCCCCATTCCTCCTCACCGAGCTGGAATAGGGCTTGTTTGAGTGCTGCTTTTCCCTTCTCCTCTCATACATCTCCAGGTAACACACAGGGCACCCCCCGAGAGCACTCCTCTAGGAGGGCCACCAGAGCCCTTTCCTTCTCCTTGTCCCAGGAGAAGGACACAGCCACAGGCCACAAGGTACCACAAGCTCCTCAACAATACCAGAAAGCAACGTGCAGCTTCCAGGTCCTTGGGCCACCGGCCAGGCAGCTCGGTACCTGCAGTAACTTGGCCAGTCTTCCCCGAGGTACTGCCTGTCCTCTGTTATCTCCGTGCTTGGAAAGCAGAGGCTGCAGTGAGCAAGAGAGGTGCAAGCAGGTTATTCCCGGTGCTGGAGGATGCCAACACACCCATTCCTGTGGGAAGAGATGACAATGGAATTCAGTAAGCTGAGTGGTCTGAGGCAAGAGCAAAACCCCTCTTTAGATCCAGAGAGGGAGGTGTTTCTAAGGCCGATGTCCCCAGCTCAAACTGGCCCCCAGCAGCATCAAATCCTTTGCTGCACGCAGGAAAACCACACGCCATGAGCCAGGATGGGGTGGAACAGGGTGAACCAAGACCCTTTATTCCCTTATGAACAGCAGGGAGAGAGGCCTTTTGCGAGACAAAGACTGAAGCAGTAACACGGGTGTCTCTCTGGGAGCAGGACGATGCCACCTCACGTTGAGTTGCTGTAGGGCAGCATCGTCAGCGCTGGGATCCCAAAGCCTCTTTGCCCACTCCATCGACAGCAGCAGCAACTCCTCCTCAGGGCTGGGGCTGCTTTGTGCTATCCACGCTTTTAGAGCATCCTCTCGTAAACCAAAAGCCACCCCAGAGCCAGCCCCACCAAGCCAAGGAGAGGGGTCAGAAGCTGAGTGCTTGCAGGCCACCAAGCCCGTTAACCCCGTATCCACAATGGGAATGGGTTTTCCCCACATCCTTCCAATGTGTTGGGCTGAAGCTGCCTCCAGCGCAGCGAACAGCGGTCGCTGACACCAGCCCACGTCAGCAGAGGAGCAATCCCAGCCGCCCGGTGCATAGAGAGGCCGGGAACCTTCCAGAGCCCAGGCCTGGAAACGCGGACCACAGAAAGCAAGGATAAAACCATGGAATCAACCAGGGTGGAAAAGAGCTTTCAGCTCATCCAGTCCAACCCTGTTCCAATGCCTGAGCACCCTTTGGGGGCAGGAATTGTCGCTCAGCTCCATCTAACCCTGCCCTGGTGCAGCTTGAGGCCGTTTCCTCTTGTCCCATCCCTTGGGAGCAGAGCCCAGCCCCATCCTGGCTCCATCCTCCTGTCAGGCACTTGTAGGGAGCCATCGGAACCCCCCCAAGTCCCTCACCCCTTCCCCATCACTTGTGCTCCAGGCCCTGCTCCAGCCCCATTGCCCTTCCCCGTCCCTCCCCAGCTCCTCAATGTCCCTCCCGCAGTGATGGACCCGGAGCTGAGCACAGGATCCATGGGGATGACCCAAACGGACCCCCCCCCCCCCCAACCCCGCGCTGTGCCGTGGTGCCGGTGCCTCAGTTTACCGTGACCCCCAGCCCCGCCGAGCCCCTGCGGCTCCTTCTGACCCCAAACCTTCCACTTTTTGTCTCTTTCCCCTTCAAAACCCCCTCAGCCCAGCCCCCGCCTCTCACTTTCCCCCTCACTCACCGGCAGTCACCGCCGCTGCTCCTCTCCTCGGCCCGGGACACCGGCGCCCTCCGCAGCCGCGCTGCTCCCGCCATGGCGGCTCAGGCCCCACAGGCCCGGGGCCTCCCCCGCAACCCGGACCCCGGGCCCTCCTCCCGCTCCTGGGGCCGCGCACAAACCGGCCCCGGCCCCTCGGCTCCGAGCTCCCCCCGCCCGCCGCCTTCCCTCGCTCCCTCTTTCCCGGCGCTTCCCCTTCCCGCTCCCTTTGTCCCCTCTCGGCCTGCCCTTTCCGCCCGCCCCGGCCGGAGTTTCCATGGGGATGGAGGCGGCGGCTGGGGCTCGGCAGGGGGAACCCGGAGGAGGAGGCCCGAAGCCGCGGGGTCGCGCTCCCGCAGGCCCCGGGAGGGGGCCGAAAGAGGCCGGCCCGGGGGTCGGGGACGACGAGGCCGCCTCCGCCGCCGCCGCCATCGGGGGCCCTCGAAGGCGGTTTCCTGCCTTGGGCCCCGTCTGTTGGCGCTTGGGGCCCGGCGTGGTTCAGTGCGGGCAGGAGGGGTGAGCAGTGAGGCAGAACACGGAGCAGCCCTCAATAACCCCGTCCTACAGCTCCTGCACCGCTCCTCTTGCTTTAGGAGGCATCGAACACTAAGGGGAGGGTGAAAGGAGGGTCTCTGACGGGGTGAGCGGGCAGCAGGACCGCAGCCTGGCAAGAAGAACCCGCTTGGGATGCGCTGCAGAGCAGCGCAGGCTCCTCGGTGATGCTGCAGAAGGTTGGAGCTCAGCAGATGCATCTTTGGTGCGGAGAGAAGGAGCAGAGCCCGGGGTGAAGCCACACGGCTCATCCCATCCCGCTGCTTCCCTACGGGAAGGTGCCGGTCACCTCTCCCGGTGCACACAAACCATTGTGGATGCCCGCAGCCCAACCTCCTGTCCTAGTTCCTCCTGCGGGATGCCCTGACCGTCAAGAGCTTGATGGTGAATCTAAGGCAGGTTTAATCCCTTTCCAGCGTTCCCTTCTGCTGTGCTGTGGTTCTGTTCCCGTCTGTGGTCACTTGGTGCCACTGTTCCTCCATGCTTCTGCCCGGTAGCGAAGCAGCCGGTGTGAGCTTGGGGTAGAGCAGGGGAAAAACCAGCCCGGAGCCATCCAAAGAGCGAGAAGTTTGGGAAGATGAAGTGGGATTGGCATAAAACCCCATGGGGACGGAGTTTTCCTGCAGCGAGACCCTTTCTTCATGCGATGGAGGGGTAGGGGGATGCTGCTCCTCCAGGTCACGGCCATGGGAGCTCAAGCACTGAGGCTCCAGGCACTGCTTTGGGTGGACAACCTGGGGACATCGTGTGTGGGGTGAGGCTGGTGTGGGTCAGGAGGGCCCATGGATGCCTTCAAGGCCACTGCCACTGCGGTGGGGTTAAAAGGAGCCTCAGGTGGCACCTCCTGAGCCTCAAAGCATGAGATGAGTACCCACGAGCAGCGTGCCCGCACCTCCTGC